CCGCCGCCCCCCACACCCAAACTAAAATTTTATTGCAGATTCGGGGTCCCCTCGCCGAGCACAGCACGACCCCGCCCTCAAAAAATATATATATATCTGGGCTGTTTTTTGGCCCGCCCGGTGTGCCCGGGCGACCTGCCCGGGCCCTGCCCGGCCGGGCGGCGTCCGTACTCAGCTTTTAGTTTAATTTTCTAGGCTACCAGAGTGGGCCGGGACCACTTGCTCGGTCGGGCCAAAAAAAAAAAAAAAAAAAGAGTAGGAAGAATTTTATTCTGTCCGATCAGATCGATCCGTCTATCGATCCATTGGTTTTTTGATTGATTGATCTGATCCATCGATCGGCCGAGAGAGAGAGAGAGAGAGAGAGAGAGAGAGAGAGAGAGAGAGAGAGAGAGAGAGGTCCTGGGGAGAGGAATGGCTATATCGAATGGCTAGATCGAATGGCTAGATTGAATGGCTAGATCGATTTAACCGATAACCAGATGATCTTGGCCCGGTCAGTTCAATGATGATATCTCAAGGCCGCCACCCTTTTGGGGAGATTTTTTTTTTTTTTTCAAACAGAACCTTAGGGCTCTGGCGCCTTTTCCATGCTGGGGAGCATCAGTCCGGTTCCTATTCCACTGGCAAGTCAGAAAAGGTTACAATAAGTACTCACTCTACGCTCCTCCCCCTTATGGTGTGGAGGCCTGAGGGACGACATTGATTACTTCACTCCGGAAGGATGTACCGCCCTTCGCCCCTGCCTAAGTTAGCCTGATTTAGATTTACGACTTGGGGATTAAAAGGTTTGTGGACTGTTACGACTTTCTTAGTAGGGCCTTGTCTGACCTGTTTCTCTCAGCTCCTTGACTGTCTGAGACCCTTTTAGTACTAGAACTGCAGTCTTGACCCTTGGTAGTCTGTCTTAAAGGACTCAGAGTGTTCTCTGAACTAGTTGCTAGTGTCGGTGTCTGGGTTTAAACTCTAGCCGCACTTCCTCAGTTACTTTAACAGCGTATTCTAATTTATATTAACCTTCAATACCTAGCTACTTTTGGGGAGAATTTTGTTTTTTGGCAGAGGTCGAATTTATCAGCACGGCTATCGGTTGAAGAAGAAAAAGGGAAAAAAATTACAATGTCAAGTCTCTAACATGACTGCGGCTTCTTTCAAGTCGTCAAAGGGATGGGGTCCCCAGTCGTTGAAGGGTCCGAGGCTTTGGAAGGTGTGGGGGGGGGGGTGGCGCAAGCGTACGCGGGATGGGCTACACAAATCCTGAATGGTCAGCTAGGTTACACTGTTGCACAGTGTTTGGTTGCTATGACGGTGTTTGGTCTGTCTGTGTGATTCCTTGAAAGAACGATTTGCTGTTCGCCTGTGTAGGACATAGATGCTGAGTCACTGACCTACTATGTCATGTGGACCAAGCTACACTGGCCCATCTTGTCAATGTTAATAAGGTGTTGGGAAGATGATGGAGGAGAGGGATGGTGGCGAGATGAGGGAGGAGTGACATTGATTCGAGCTTGTGCTCATCTTCTTCTTCTTCCTTTGTCTATTTCTCTTTCCAATCTCTTTCATTTCAGTTGCAATTGAACGGCATTGCCTCATTTTGAGTCCTGCTCTGTGAGATTTCCAGGATGATCATAACATTTGTTTTTTTTGCATGTGTGCTCTTTTAAACTTTTAGTTGATACTACTTGATAGATATGTGACAACATATATTCAGCTGATGCATTGCTCAATCTTCATGTATACCTTGCACAGGATGTTTCCAGGTGTCTCCTGTGGCTGCAAGAGAGAGCTGGATCTTGGCCGTACACGGGCTGCGATCCTTTATGTGACATCCACGATCAAGAGTTGATTGATCATCTGAAAATTTCATATTGTCAATTCCTGGTAAGATCAGCATACCTGATGTCATACCAGTGCTTGCGGAGTGTATTTTCCCGAAAATTGCTGTGTTTTCTGCTTTTTATTTATAATATAGGTATTATTGTTTATCTATATTCTTTTGTTATTACATATCTTATTGTATATTTTTTTATATTACATATCTTATTGTATATTATTATATTCGGATTTAATTGTCAAATAATACAATTTAAAAATAATCGAAAATTGAATAGAAAATTAGAGAACATTCATTCTCAATAATAGAAAAGAAATAATGCTTGAATCTATTGAATAATGAATGTTTTTAATTAAGATCAAATGAAGATATATATCTTCATTTGATCTTAATATGAATGTTCTTTCCCTCATCTTTCTTCCCTTTCTTTGCCTCTTGTCTTCTAAACTTGCAGTCGCAGATGCTTAAAACATTTGCATCTGTACAAAACCCATGTGGCTGAATGGGTACACTGTGTTAGTAAATAGATCATGAGTTCAAATCCCGGTCGGATCAGAGGAATACAACACGGTTAGGCTACTGCAATGATCTGGCACAACAGAAGTTTAAATGGTACAGTGTGTTAGTAAAAAGATCATGAGTTCAAATCCTGGTGGAATCAGTGGAATACAACAAGGTTAGGGGCTACTGCAATGATCCGGCACTTCGAGTTCCACAGCAGTGTCAGTCAAGTCGATGTGTCTCAGTGATTAAGCTCCTGTTGAAACTTGAAACAGATCATGAGTTCAAATCCCGGCGTCAAGCAAGCATCCTTTTTTTTGTGTAAGTCATTTAAACCCCGGTGCCTCCGAACCTCTCTTCCCCGATGCGGATTGCCCATGTGCACCAAAAAAAAAGGAACCACAATGGACACGTTTTCTTTTCTTTTTGGGCCGCCACTAGCCATTTTGGTCTGGTGGCATTGTTCATCCGCAGATTGTGGTGGTGGTCAAAATTTGTCACAAAAGTTTACCTGTGAGAGGTACTGGTGGTTTGAGAGCTGTTTTCAGTTTTTTACTCATCTGAACCCATCACGATTGCATCCTTTCTTTGTAGAGACCCGTCCATCCAAAGAGTCCCAGAAGTGGAGCCAGGCTTACCGCACAGACTTATCTTCCCAACGGTAATCATGTTTGCAGACAATCTAACTGTTCTAATACGAGCATCAGATCATTCTTCAGGGTCCTAGCAAGAGCCATGGAAGCGCGCAGACTAGCATCTGAAATGAAGGCCGACTGGTTTAAGACGGTAGGCTGGTGGCTGGAAGAAGACCCAAGACCACAGTTGAAGGGACCTGAAGCGAACCTGAAATGGAACAATCCTGAAACCCCTTCCAGGTACTTGGGGGTTCTAGTTACTCAAGGCAGGCCAGCGCCACCAGATGGCGCACGATTTGCTTAGCTAATACAATAAACAAAATAGAGGAATGGAAACATGTATTCACATCCCTCCTAGGAAGAGCACTTGTAATCAACACATTTGTGTCCTCAATGATGCGGTACATCCCCTCCATCTGGACCATCCTGGACCAGACCATAACACAGTTGAATAAAAGAGTGAGAGCGTACCTGTGGACTGGAGATCCAAGTAAACAGAACTTCATCCCAAAAGTAGCTTGGCACTTCATCACAGTGATCACACACAAGCAATCAGAGGGTGGATTAGGCAGCATAGATCCTCAAAACCCTAAACCCTAAACCCTAAACACAAAACAAAAATCCTTGCAAATGAACTGGATTGTAAAGCTCTTATTGAAACAACATTTGGCATGGTCAACTCTAGTTTGGGACAGCATAAGAAAGATTGCCCCTATGCCCTCCCCCTCAAACATGTCAGGTCTATTCTGGGTTATAAATAACGAATGGAATCTAGAAATAGGCACGACAAGGCGGTTGGGGGCTCCTCCCGACCACAAGAATTATCCCCCACACCCCATTGGTCAGCCCTCATCAAAATGGGAGAGGGATCTTTCCGTGAAAGCCCCATAAACCAAAATCAAAAGAGGAGATCCTCATACAACCCCTTTTTGGCACCCCATGGGTCTGGGATGGAGGGAACCACCCCCTGGACTCTCACCAGAAAACAGCACTACTGGTTGAAATGGATCGCTGGTCTGGTATGGAAAGTCAGTCACGTTTGGGATGAGGAGGTGAACAATTGGATCAAAGTATCAAAACTAAGGAATCATCTCAAGAGCGCCCACAACCTCTCATCCATTATCAAATCTCGGTCCGATAGTCAATAGCATCCCAGGTAGTTGGAAAGAAGTACTACAGGAAAATTTCACATGGAAAGGAGGAGAATGGGGCATCCTGATTCAGGAATCCCCCATATGCCTTCCACTGCAGAATCTCAGGCGCCAACTATACGGCAGCCTTCAAGGCAGTTGGAAAGAACTACTACAGGAAAATTTCACAAGGAAAGGAGGAGAATGGGGCGTCCTGATTCAGGAATCCCCCATATGCCTTCCACTGCAGAATCGCAGGCTCCAACTATACGGCAGCCTTCATGTTCTTTCCCTTCGAATACGACCAAGAGGAAAATCCCAAGGTAGTAAACAAAACCCCTTTGAAGTCACATTGAAGATATTCCTAATTAGAAAAATAAGGGTTTGGGGCACCAAACCCCAAAGAATCGTTCACCCACAGTGTACCATCACTGACTTGGATTTTGGTCTGGCAGAATGGATATGCAATCAAGCAACCCAGAAGAGTGAACAATCCAACCCAATTATCTAAGTACATGGTTAAACTGGGTTACGGAGTGTTCCTAAGAACACAAGATCTGGCACCGACAATTCAGAGAAGATAGGATAGGGAGTTAGGGGAACACTGCATCCCACTATAGCAGATCCCCTGGAAAAGTACAAGATGATCAGACCTCTAAAGATCAGGAGTCTCCAGTGTCGAATTGCATATGCAGCCCTCCCGGTCAGTAGTTGACTACATACGAGGAGAAAAAAGAACGATCTAGCCAGCACGGACTGGTGTATGATCCGTTCGGACCAGGAGCAGGAAAACATTACGCACTTTGTAATCAAATGCAAAAAGTTACACTACTGCTGGTCCAAGGCAAAGGAGATACGGTCCTCCATATTCTCCTCACTCCTACTAGTCCTCCGTCCCCAAATAGTCCTCTGGAATAACCTTCCCACTTCCCACAACATTATCTCTCAAGGTCTTCATTGACATCCTGCACGTTCGAAAAAAAACTAACAGGAAGATCATCCTCAAAAGAGGCACCCGCATCACCGAGAAGGCAAGGAATGCAAACATATGGTAGTCATCCATAAAAGCCAGTCAAGATCACAACTTTCTTTCCACTTCTTGCCTACCACGTAGACCCTAACCTTAAGACTTAGACTTCCTGCCCAGTTACCGTTGACTTACTAGAACTCTCATTGCTACTGCCGTCGCTACAGGTTGTAAGTGTCGTTGATCAAGCCAACCAGCAATTTAAGGACTGCCAGCAACGTCCTAAGGAATTATTTAACGCCCCAAACAGGAAGGCGTGGCTTCATGATATGGCCAATTCCCGTTCAAAGTAGACATGTCTCTCATTGAGCTGTGTGGTTCTTCGCACACCGGTCAATACTCGTCCTTGGGCTAGTCGTGGTGTTTAACGAGTGGCCGCCGCCTTATATCCTTGCATATACTTCACATGGTCGCCTGCCAGTTGTCAGACCCTATTACATGCAACCTGCCTATCACTTAGCGCCCTCAATGTTTAAACTAGGACTAACACATCTGATGTCGCTTGCCTCCGGCCTAAGCTGGAAGGATCAACCTGACTGGCGTGGGGTTTACAATCGGGACTTCCAGGCCTGCTGGCGGAGATGAAACCCTATGCACGTCATAAGAAGCATGGGGAACCTTTCCTCCAGCAGGTTATCACCACTGGTTACATGTACCAGCTTTCCTACTTTTAGAACTAATTGACATCAACAAGACTTCAACACCAACATAATTGGCCAGCAGCTTTACATCCAAGGGAAGGACTTGACAAAATTCAAGAGACAACAACAAATGCAAAATCGACAAGACTTAGGGTTAGAGAGCATTCCATTTCACTTCGAGGTGCCGGTTTCCGCTCAGTGAATCGTTAGGTAAGTATTCTCCTTCGTTCTCCATCCTTAGCCTCTTCTTCTTCGCCCTTCCAAGTCCTCCCCCAATTGTTGTCAACCCAATTCGCCAGTCGGCCTTGGTCACCGTCGGCATACTTCTTCTCCAACACCGATGCAACGAGAGCACGCCCCGATACCAGTGCAATGATCCGACTCACTTCAGCCTCCCAATGACAGCCATGCAAGTCTCCGAAGTCCACACAACACTCTAACAGCAAAGCACGAGACAAACGTCAACCGGATCTCGAAGATATTATTCCAAAATACAAATTTGGTGCAAGTCCCCGAACTCATGCGGCTATGGACACCTAAGCTCTCTCTCTCTCTCTCTCTCTCTCTCTCTCTCTCTCTCTCTCTCTCTCTCTCTCTCTCTCTCTCTCTCTCTCACTTGGATCGCTCACTCTCACTCTCTTAATGAGCTTGGCTCTCAACCCTAATGGATATGGTGTCTTCGCTCTTCCTCTCTGGTCCTAGCTATGGCGCACTAACGCCCGGCTGCTCCTTCAGTATGCGCCTCCACCGTGCACAGGAGCACTCCCACAACATGCAAGTGAACAATTGTGTTGCCCATGCACGGCAGCTGCTGAAGTAGCAGCCCAATGGACAATCTTTGTCAGGTCCAGACTGGTAACAGTCTTCATGGCCTGTCGGCCGCAATTGCCAGGTCCTAGAAGTCACCGGAATTTCCCTGGCTGCTGCTGCTAAATGTAGACTGGGACTTTGGACTTTTCTTGTCGGGTACTGGGCCTACGGGACTTCTAACGACCTGGACCTCTACCGATTTACTGGGCCTGAATCAGCAGCGTGGGAATTGGCTGAGAGTTGAAATCCTTTCATATTCAATGATTCGATCTATACATACGACAAGGCGAGAAGTGGATTCGATCAACACAAAAGACACACAGCCACTTTCTAGGCGCAGTCGTCGGAGGGATCAGGCCATCAAGAAAGATTTGCACTTTGGCACAAACTTCTTTGCACCACTTGGTACAGATTCTTTCCAGACAGCACGCTTCCCCAAGGTGTGTGTGTGTGTGTATGTGTGTGTGTGTGTGTGTGTGTGTGTGTGTGTGTGTGTGTGTGTGTGTGTGAGAGAGAGAGAGAGAGAGAGAGAGAGAGAGAGAGAGAGAGAGAGAGAGAGAGAGAGAGAGAGAGAGAGAGAGAGAGAGAGAGAGAGAGAGAGAGAGAGAGAGAGAGTGTTACAGCAGTTGGCTGCCATGTTCTGTTTCTCGCAGGAAGGGCTGTGGCGGGCGGTTAGAATTGTATACAAAGGAAATCAAACTCTAGGAGCCTAGGAGGGAGGGCTGAGGATCAGGATACGGGAGCGATTTCTAAGCCGGTGGTTGGAATTGGTGTATTGCGCGGATGAGTATTTTTCCTGATGGCCTTCCCATGATGTATGCGACATCAACACTAAAGTGCTCTGGTGTTGGTGTCATTAAGACCATGTCATAACCAACTGCGTCCACCAACGAAGTCTTTCACCAAAGTCCCAACTTACCAATGTTGTTTAACAGATGGTACAACCACTGGCCATTAGAAGCCAGATTGACGCTGTCACTGACTCCCCTGGATGCACATCAGGGAGGGGGTCCATCCAGATCCTAATATACTGAATTAGGTGCGACAAAAGTTGCTTCTACCAACCAACTGAAGGCAAAAAGCCAAAGCTCAGAGCCATATAGAGAGAAAGGTCTGAACAAGAAATGTTGCCTGCAGATGGTGCGTGGTTGCTTATGCTTGATAAGGTGTGGTTGGTGTGCAAGAGCGCTTATACGCTGGTCAGTGCCTCTGTTCTACGGTGGTATTCATGTCATGTCTTGCCCTGTCATACTTGCAATGGTATGTGCCCCATTAGTGTACTACGTTGGACGTCACGCCCTAAATTGCATGTCATGTTTGTGGCAATACATGCTAATGTGGGCTTCCACATGTTTGTGGCAATTTACGCTATGTTCTGTCATGCTTGCCCAGGACGAGGAGCAGGAGGAGACGGCAGAGGTCAGGGTTCGCAGAGCAGGAGAGCCTACCAGAGTGTACGCAGTTACTCTCTGCGGTATCAATGTATAGTACTTCCACCTTCGTTATCCGACGAAACACTCTGGCACTCCTTTTGTGGAGTTGTGTACAGCAAACATTACAACACACCAATGTGGCCAGCCTTGCACTCTCCATCTTTTTATCATGGCTGCGATCCGGACGACTGGATCGCAGTGCAGACCGTCTGGGTCTGGATGTCCTGGTCCGGTGTCCGGTCCAGAGCATCCGGATCTGGCCCTCCACCCTGAAAAAAGAAATAATGAAACCTGAAAAAAGGTATGTTATGCAGCGTTGCAATACGTAACTCTTTTGGCTGAGGATCATCTCGAGGGGGGGATTCAATCCAGACGGTCTGGAGCCATCCGAGCAGAGGTCCGGCTGGACGTCCGGATTGGTCCGGAGTTGCCGTGCTTTGTATCCATTGAGGCTTCTAGGGGGATCTGGTATTAATAAAACACATCCCCCYCCCCCCCCCCCCYCCACACACACACACACACACACACACACACACGTGCTGGTGAGGGATCGTGCTTATACGTGAACATCACAACGCATATCAATGTGGCCAGCCTTTTGCACCCTCCCTCTTCTTATCCATTGAGGCTTCGGGGAGATCTGGCGTTGATAAAACACATCCACACACACAAACACACATATATGTGCAGGTGAGGGATGGTGCTTATACATGAGCATGGTAGGAGAGTCAGACCTTCGCTTTGGGATGCCTTTTGTTGATTGGAATTTGTTTTATGTAAACAAGTCAGCCCACAGCGGCTATGCCCACGGCACACCTCTTCCTGCCCTCGACATGATGACTGCAACTGCGAGAATTGGATGTGGTGCTTGGACGGGGGGCGCAAAGCGGCTTGCAAGTGCTGAAAAGCAGACCTGAACCTGTCCTGTCCGTTCTGCAGGGTGGCTATTAGCCATACGCAATGCCCGCTCTGCAGGTTATCTTTCTCTGCAGCTCCACCCCTGACTGGCCTGCCATGAAAGTCTCCTCTCTCACCGCCCTTTTCCCCTCCTCTTTCCCGGAACTTGTGCTCCTCCCTCCTCTCTCCTCTTCTTTCCCCTCCTTCGCTCAGGTTCCCGTCCTTGCTCCCCCCATGTAGAGCAAGTAAATGCTTATGAATAAGCATCACCAATAGAACAGATAAAATATAAGGTGCAGGTGTGTCGAAAGGCAAACGGGTGTGTATGCATCCCGTGTTTCAAGTACACAGACGTGGTGGCCCTTGCACCTTTCAGAATACAACAATGAGATGGTCTTTTCATCAAAACATCTCTTTTTTTTTTTCATCACATGTAAGCTAGGCTACCTGAGTGGCCCAGGACCACTTGCCCGGCCAGGCCAAAAATAAATAAATAAATATATATATATAACTTAATATAAGGGTGTCCAACGTTTCCTCATTTTACACATCCCTATCACCCAGATATATGTTGTCCCTTTTGTGCCCAAGGACGGTATCAGAACTGCATGATGCCGCACTGTGATGAACGTCCTGCTGTTTTTTTGACATGTCGACAACATGTCCTCTGTCGGGACTGTTTTGATGGGATGGTTCGCGCTAGCCGTCATGCTGAATGCTGTGCTGGCGCAGCTCTCCTTGGGTATCCTTGTGAACATCCACATCATCCTCGCCGTAGCTGTCCTATCTGCCGAGGTGGGGACAGATAAAGCCTTCGACACTACCGACAGATACGGAGTTAAAAAAAAATAAAAAAGAAAAAAGAAAAACAAGAAAAAAGAAAAAAAATAAAAAAATATGTTGATCTGTGGGATTTGTTATTTGCTTTGTGGCAATTGGATTATCTGTGGGATGTGTCATTTGCTTTGTTTGACTGATAGGCTTTCTTTCCCTGTCAGGTTTGGTTTCCTCCTCCTTTTCTTTACCTCTTTGCCTTTTGGCTGCGTGCAAGTGGGTCCTTGTGACACACGGGGATGGGGGTAGCCAGCGCTCAACCTGTCATCCACGTGGCTGGCCTTGTACGTAAGAAGTGATGAACAGGTGGGGCTTTCCTTCCCTCTTTTCCTTTTCTTGTTTTGTCTTTTTCCGCCTTTACGCTCCGATTCACAGTGTGACAATATATTATATATATATTGTCAAACAGAGCTATATATTTTATTTTATTTTTATTTTAAATTTGGTAAAGAATTTTGATGTGACCTTGAGGTGAACGTTGTTCGGTGGCGGGCGGTGAGCAATCGCGTAGCGGACCAACGCGGTGTAGCGTTGGCTCGTGTGCCAGACCTTTCCGACAACATGGCTGAAACGACGTAGGGTTGATGAGGCGTGGGGACACTTGGCAGGACGTGGTTTCACAGGACCTTGATGGGTGCCTGGCCATGGTTGGCCTAGGCCGGTGTGAGCTGGTATTCCCTTGGGGCGACGGGTGCGTAGGAGTTGTGGGGCGAGCCAGAGGGCGGGGTCGGTTTGCTGCAGTATACCAGATAATACAGATATGAAACTTGATCAGGAGGGCGTGCGCCCACCTGGTCCTCAGATATGGAGCATGACCGCAGCAGTGCAATCAGCTTCTGCTGGGTCGATTGGGGCAGTTCTGTTAATCGACGGCTTTGTGTTGACCGGGTGCTCCGCGACTTTTGGACAGTAGTTGCGGTATGGGATGCATGAGTTGGTGGTTCTTTCGATGGTTTGAGTTTTGAGATATCCGCCTCCACGACTGTGGCTGCGACTGGACTGCCTGCTGAGAGTGGGAAGCTGCAAGTGAAGTTTGTCTTGCATAAAGTTGGGAGAGACGACTTCGGCGCGGTTAACTGAAGTGACACCTGGATAGCGGAAAGGAGATTTATCCTGCAATCTGCTTTGAGATAAGTGACCGTGGCGACCCTCAGGACCCTGGCCTTCTGCCTTCCTCGCTATCATGAATGCGATGGGCGGCTTATGGCTTCGGAAGGGCTGCTCGGCTCTGTGACAGGTCTTTTCTTCTCGCTTTCTCTTATCTTGCAATTTGCCCTGAGATAAGCAACTGTGGCAACCCTGGCCTTCACCCTCCCTTGCTACTACGGAAGCGATGGGCGGCTTATGAGCTGGAAGCGATGGGCGGCTTATGGATCTGGGACAGGTTTTCTCCTTCTTGCTTTTTCTTGACGCTTGCTTGAGGGCATGGTTAGTCGATCTTTTCCGACTCGTCGTGTTAGATAAGCAGCCAGCTTATTTGCTCTTTTTGAGGTCTTCTAGCTCGTACTTTTTGATGAGCAGTTTGTTGTTCTTTTCGACCGTCGTTGATTTCATTTCGCTTGTTTACTTCGAGCGCTGTTGGTTTTCATCCTTGTCATTGGCGATAGTCATCCTTTTGTTATAGACGATCTTGGTGCTGGTTTCTTTTTTAGTGATCGGTTTCTTTTACTTCTTTTGCCTTTTGGATTGCTGGTCGCTGTTGTTCGTTGTTGCGGGAATTCATTCTTTGCCTTTTCTTCTTTGTCTGATGGGGTTAGGATATATCTGGTATTTGGTTTTCTCCTGGTTACGATTGTTTGAGTGGTTTCTCCATGTCTCTTACTTTTAGTTTTACACATGCTGACGGCACCTTGGTTACTGGCAGACAACAATGGATTCAATGGCTCTGATGAGCCGGTGAAATTCCCACGAAACACTATTGGTGCTGTGTGCGGTGGGGTGGATAAGGGGGGTCGTGTCCCCGGCTCCAAGCGCAATGGATAAGTTTCGAGACTCGGAGTGGGTGGTAGCGCGGCGAGTTCTTCTCAGTACCAGACTAACACTGACCCAGTTTAAAGCGTAGTCGTTACTTCCTGATGTCTTCAGAGTTTGTTGTGGCGTTCGGAGCAGCGTTATTTTCTCTTTCCTCCGTTCCGGAGGGCTTGTCTGTGTTGTCTGTGTCGTCTCGCCGCTTTAGGTGAGAGTGTTAGTTGCTCTTCAGGATCGTTGTTGATAAGTGGTTTTGCCGTTGTCATAACTTCAATCCTTCGGGTTTCCCGGGGTTGTGTTAGTTGGGAGAGCTCTAGGTTGTGCTTCATATGGAGTGATTAGTAGCTTATGATCCGATTGTTTCGGTGAGGAGAAACCGGGTACGAGGTTTGTAGTTGCTGTTTTAGGCTTTTTGCATAGTTGCGGCGCACCAGTGTGCAGTGCGGTGCGGAGCGGTGCACACTGCGCTGTCTGCTGGAATGACAGCGCGCACACTGTGCGCCGTGGTCCGCTGTGCGCGGTGCGCACGCTGAGGGAGGTGCGGCCTGTGCGCGATATAAATTAAAAAAAAAGAAAAAAAAAAGGCCCCAGAGAGAGAGAGAGAGAGAGAGAGAGA